TACTCATTTTTCACAAGTTTCAAATAATCAGGAGCGAAATCACTCCAAGTGCCTTGCGTCATGCTTGGGCCGGCAAACCACCCACCCAGAGTGGGGGTCATACATACCGCTCGGTTTCGTGAACGGCTTTGTCCGCCCTCACCTGGTCCTCGAACAAGCATGCCAGGTTGTTGAGCGATTCGGCTACGTCGGGGTGATCAGGTCCAAGAACCTTCTCGCGAATGGCAAGGGAACGTTCGTGCAACGGTCCGGCCTCCTCATGTTTGTCCTGATATGTGAGGGACAGACGGCGATGTGACATGGAACAGGACGGTAGATCCCACGGCGGATGAACAAATGATCAACCAGGTTGCCGAACTTTCTGCAAGTCGCAAGTCGGGGTCAAGATTCTTCTTCCCCATCTGGAAAGGCTCGAAGGTACAACAGATACGCCTCTTCGTACTTGACACAGTAGAGGCCGCTGTTTAGTGCCGGTTGAATAGTGTCGGTTGCTGGTATATTGCCGATGTTTTCGGCGGGCACACACTGAATTCCCAAGTCATTTTCAATACTTTTAATAGTGCCTGTCCGTTTTAGCGCCAGTGAAATCTCGGCGCACACCCCGGCACTAAACAGGGACCTCTACTGGACGTGTAGCAAGCAGCAGGGGCTTTTGAGGGAGCGGCCCAGCAAGAACGTTGCATGTAATGCTATCATATGACGGCGCTGAGAGGCTCCTGGACATGTCTGTCTGCGAGTTCAAAAGGATCAAAAGAGGAACCCACTCGAAGTGCTTCCTTCAGGAGATGATACGACGCCAGATGCGTGCCAAACCACTACATTCAAAGGAGTGTTTACATTGCTTGGGGCAGCCAAATCATCTCACCACAGGGAGAGTCATAAAAATCTCCCGATTCGTGGACAACTTTGACCGCTCTTACCTGGTCCTCTAGCAAGCACGCCAGGTTGTTGAGCGATGTGGCCACGTCAGGGTGATCAGGTCCAAGAGCCTTCTCGCGGATGAGAAGACAACGCTCAAACAACGCCCCGGCCTCTTCAAGCTTGCCCTAGAGTGCAGCGAGACAGCGCGGCAGAGGCGTATTGCAGCCGAGGTCAGATCTAGATCGAACCACCAGGGAGCTCGCTTTCAGCTACCCCCTGTGGTCGATCAAAAATGATTTTACCAAACACTTGCAACTCAATCAAGTGGCGGCCCTGAAACGATTCCTGCACATTTCAACATGTGAGTTTCCAACATCCAAAAGATAAATCACTACGAGTACCTCCTTCAGGCGATGAAACGCAAGCCAGATGCGTGCCAAAAACCTCACTTCCCCTACGAAGATGCTTGGGCCAGCAAAAAAACACAAAGGAGGGTCTTGCATGCCGCCCGTGTCGTAAACGGCAATAGACGCTCTCACCTCGCTCTCCAACAACCCTCCCCAGTTGTTGAGCACTACGGCCACGTCAGGGTGGTCAGGTCCTAGAGCTTTCTTTGTGATGCCAAGAGAGCGTTCCAACAGCCTTGCGGCTTCCTCATTCTTGCCCTGGAGTATGAGGGAGAGACGGGATGGACTTTTTGAGATCCCAGGTGGATAAAAACCTGGCCAACAATGCTGAAGAAGCTTCCCAAGGCGCATGGTCTATTGAGGCAGCAATCCAGCACTAACTATGCAATGAAAGCAATCACATGGCGTCGTTGAAAGCCTGTCTGCGAATTCAAAATGATCAAGAGGGAAATGACTAAAGGTGCCTCATTCAGGCCATCAAACGTAAGCCAGGTGCGTGCAGTACTAAGAGTGTCATGCTTGGGGAGCAAACCACCTCACCAGAGTGGCGGTCATACATAATGCTCGGTTTCATGAACGGTTTTGACAGCCCTCACCTCTCTCTGAAACGATTCCGCCAGGTTGATGAGCGTTGCGGCTACGTTAGGGTGATCAGGTCCAAGAACCTTCTCGCGGATGGCAAGGGAACGTTCAAACAACCGTCCGGCCTCCACATATTTGCCCTGAAATGTGAGGGAGAGACAGGGATGCGTCATGGTACAGGACGAAGGTACAGCGGATCCGCCTCTTCGTACGAAACACGTGTAGCAAGCAGCAGGGGCGTTTAAGGGAGCGACCCAGCAAGAACTTTGCAAGCAATGCAATCATATGACGGCGCTGAGAGGCTCCTGGACATGTCTGTCTGGGAGTTAAAAACAATCAAAGGAGGAACCCACTCGAAGTGCTTCCTTCAGGAGATGATACGACGCCAGATGCGTGCCAAACCACTACATTCAAAGGAGTGTTTACATTGCTTGGGGCAGCCAAATCATCTCACCACAGGGAGAGTCACAAAAATCTCCCGATTCGTGGACAACTTTGACCGCTCTTACCTGGTCCTCTAGCAAGCACGCCAGGTTGTTGAGCGGTGTGGCCACGTCGGGGTGATCAGGTCCAAGAGCCTTCTCCTCGATGGCAAGGGAACGCTTAAACAACGCCTCGGCCTCCTCAGGCTTGCCCTGGAAAGTGAAGGGAAGACGGGATGACGTCATGGCGAAAGTCGGAAGATCCTACCGCAGAGGAACAAGCGCTGAGAACAACGTTTCTGGAACAGTGGTCGACCGGGGCAGTCAGGGCCTACTACCTTATACTTCCACCGAATCAGGATCGATATCTTTGTTACGGTTATGTGTGTAGAAATCAGCAGGATATGAGCCAACGGTGTGTTAAGAAACCTGAACAAACGCGTAAATCTACACGAATGGTTCTAGGGGAGAAAGTTGTCGTTCTTCGATACCTGCTCGTACAGCAATGCTGCCCAGTTACCGAGCGTTGTGGCCAAGCGTGGGTGCTCGGGGCCTAGAACTGCCTCTTGTATCGCCTGACATCGCGCATAGAGCGGTCCAGCTTCAGCGTATTTGCCCTAAAGTGCGGTGGAACAGCGCGGCAGAGGTGAGTTTCGGTCGGATGTCGTGCGTCGGTGGTCGACCAAAACCAACTGGACCAACTTAAACAAAAAGGCGGCTCTGAAAAGATCTCTGCACATTTTTGTGTACCAATTTCAAACAAGGAAAGAGGGAAATCACCAGAAGTACCTCCTTCAGCCGATGATACGTATGTCAGATACCTGCCTGAAGCCCACCTTCTAAGCTCGCCTTGCGAAAGGTTGGTCACACAAATGTAGGTCGGACATACCAACCATTTTGTGGACGACTTCGACTGTTCTCACCTGGCTCTGCAACAAGCCCGCCAGGGTGTGTTGCGATGAGGCCACGTCAGGGTGGTCTGGTCCGAGAGCTTTCTCGCTGATGGCAATGGAACGTTGGCACAGCCGCTCGGCCTCCTCATACTTGCCCTGGAAAGTGAAGGGAAAAGTGGCATAGGTTACGTTGAGGACGATAAGTCTTTCTGCGGCGGGACAAACGCTCAAGATCCTGTATTATCGGAAATCAAAGAGTCGAGCAAGCAAAGCGACATTTGTTTTCGTCTTATTCTGCCGAAAAAAATGTACCGTGTGCGAAGTACATTTATCGGCGGTCTCCGGATATGCGTGACAAGGGCAAAATCGACATGTCACATAGGTTTGTCGGCCCAAATTTTAACACGGAAAAATCTAATACGAGAGCCACAGGGAACGAAAGAACGATGTATCAGCTTCTACGGATGCGCGAAGAATAGCGCAACATCATGGCTCGGTGTATCATCCAAGCGCTAAAGAGGGGAGTGTGGTGGCGGGCGTCAAAGACGACAAACAGCCAAATTCAGCACATCAACTTCCTCCAAATGGGATGTGCTCTTAGCGTCCCCGGGCTGGCAGAGAAGAGAGAGAAATACCACACAACACCGAGTGATTGTCACCGGCAGGAGCAAAAAGAGGGACACTAGGGATGGCCGTGATTTTGTGTGTGTGCATGTATAGACTATGGTCGTGAGCATGGGGTGGTGGTGTGGGTCGTGCTGAGTTGCCACAGGCTAAGTGTGAAACCGCGAGACGGCGAACTTCCTCACTCACTCGAGCTTGTTTCCAGCAGAATAACACAGCCACATTGACCAGGGGAAACGGGTTCCATTGCATGCAAACGATTAGAGTAGTGCCTTTGATACGAACTTGATCGATTGGTCTCTCTTCTGTTGGCAAAGCACCCAGACGGCAGCTCCTTCACACGCCAACAAAGGCAGCAGGTCAAACACTTGTTTTAGAGATCTAAACCTTATTGAGAGAGCTGCTGAAAGAGTCTGTGCCATCAGTGCGATGATGGAATGGGTCCACGCCGTAGTATATGCATCAAAGATAGGGTAGATGTGCCGTCCATATATGCACAACAACATCAAGGTCGTTCCGCGGCACTCGTTCAATGTGAAGCATCGCAGATACGAGTCCGTGTCACTCACTACCCAAACCCTTATTATAGTAGAAGACTACAGACCCTCAACATAATCGCCGGAGCTTGAGCAAGTCAGGACCCTGCATCTGGGAAACTCAAAGGTACGGAGGGTCAACCTCGAAGGCGCATAGCGGCGACATTGCCCTGTGAGTTGATATCAGCAGAGGGTGCTCGCCAGGTCCACCAAATATCAAAACCCCGAAGCAAATGATTAAATATGCGATGGTTCCACCTGCATCTCCAAGAAATCTGCCCGGTTGTGGAGCACTGCGGTTAGGCCTGGGTGCTCAGGGCCTAGAACCCTCTCTTGTATCGCCTGACACCGCGCATAGAGGGGCTCAGCTTCAGCGTACTTCCCCTGAAATGAAGTGGGACAGCGCGGCAGAGGTATATTTCAGTCGAGATTGGATCTACATCGAACTGCTGGGGAACATGCTATCATCTCCATCACGCTGGTTGTCGTGAAGAGCAGAGCTTGCAGCAACCGAAACAAATGGACATCTTTGTCTGCGAGTTCAATACAACCGTGAAGGAGATCACAAGATGTGCATCCTTCAGGGGATGATGCGTGAGCCATATCTGTGCCAATAACCTTACCTCAAGATGGTTGGGGCAGCAAAAAACATAACATAGGCTTGAAATCATTGCCTCTGGTTTCTTGAACAACTTTGACTACTCTCACCTGGCTCTTCAACAAGCCCGCCAGGGAGTTTAGCGACGTGGCCACGTCAAGGTGGTCAGGTCCGAGAGCTTTCTCGAAGATGGCAAGGGAACGTTGGTGCAACACTCGTGCCTCCTCGTATTTGCCCTGTAGTGTGAGGGGAGCGGGAGACGGAATTGCGTCTTGGTACAGAATGGTAGATCCCGCGGCGGAAAAAAACAGAGTGGCTGTTGACGAAGCTTCCGCAAATCGGGCTGGGAGTATTCTCCCCAATCTTAAAAGGCTCGAACGAATAGTGGATCCGCCCCCTTCGTTTTAAACACGTGTAGGAGGCAGCAAGGTCATTTCAGGGGGCGGTCCAGCAGGAACTACATGTACGCAAGTATTGCAATCAAACGGCTGCCCTGAGAGGGTTCTGGCCGTGTCTCTCTGCGAGTTAAAAACGATCAAGAGTGAAATCACTAGAAGTGCCTACTCTATGCGATGCATATGTATGCCACATGCGTGGAATTAAACTTGCAGAGTGTCATGCTTGGGGCAGCCAATCGCACCCCAACACCGTGAGCCATATATGGCTCCCATTTCGTGAACGCTTTTGACGGGCCTCACCTGGCTCCTCAACAAGCCTGCCAGGTTGTGCAGTGTCGAGGCCAGGCTTGGGTGCTCGGGACCTAGAACCTTCTCTTCTATCGCTTGACACCGCACATAGAGAGCCTCAGCCTCAGCGTACTTGCCCTGAAGTGGAGTGGGATAGCGCGGCAGAGGAGTATTGCAGTTGAGGTCGGATCTAGATCGAGCTGCCGGGGAACACACTGTCAGCTAGCACGCCGGGTGAGGCCACGCCAGGGTGATCAAGTCCAAGAGGTTCCTGGCGACACGGTTTAGGAAGTGTTCAGACAACGGTCCAGCCTCCTCGTGTTTGCCGTGGAATGGTACGAAAATGTAGCGCGAATGGAAATTGACCCAAGACTTCTGCAAAAGCGCAGGGAAATAAGTGCGCTACAACTGCGCCCTGTTGTTCAGGCATAAGACCACGCGTGGCAAATCAGAGACAATGTATGACTATGGATATATAGAGACGTTCTCCTCACGCTGGCTCTGAACAGTTCAAAGAATCGCAGCTGAAATTGCGGAAAAGGCGAGTCACGCTGTTTGCCGAGGAATACAGGCTCTGCAACCATCGCGACAACTATTCTTTTATTCTCTGCCTGAATGACTATCACCGACAATGACAGCAGCATTTCACGGGCCAGAATCTTCAGGGGTCTGCCTCTTCATACTGGCTGCAACGAGGAGGAAACGCGAAATTGTGAAAGCTAAATTCGGACAAGGTCCGCAGAGCTCACTGCAGTCGAAGGCACATGTTCTAACTGCCAGCGCGTCGTGAGCTGCCACGTGATGCATTGGATCCAGTATCGCGCTCTCCAATAGCCTTTGGCCTTGATATGGACGAGATGCCTTCACTTTGGCGCTCAACTCGCACGCCTGAACTGTAATTCGCAAATAGTGAATTTGATTGACGCTACGACCAGCGATGGCGAATAATATGGCCGTCGAAACAACGAATCGATGTGGCTCTCTCCAAACTCCCCTCTCAACCCCTGCTACTACAAGTTGTAGCGAAGCCAGAAACGAATTTCTCGGCCTCTAGGCCAAGACGATACGTAGCCTTTTCAAATATGGTGGGGCTTAGGAGGACCCCCGACCTGAAATAATATTATATTAGTATAGAACACTCTGCAGCACGCTCGTAGCTTCTGCTGGGGCTTGGACATCGAACAGCGAAGCGGCGGCATGGAAGCTCCGCAATCTTGACCCACCCGCTGACTGCCACTAGCTACTGCCGGAGACCCGCGGTTCAGGAGATAGAAGGTCGTGGCGACGAGTTCAGCTGCGACAAGCTTTTCGTTTCAGTCAAGAATCCGGAGGTTTTCAGCTACTGCTGTGGCTCCCGATATCATAGCCCCAGCAGCAGATCTGAGCGCGCCAACACAGGCGTCACCTCTCCATGGCGCGCTCTGCTGATACCATGCTCCATACCGGGACTCTGCCTGCGGAAGGTCGATATCGTGTTATCGTTCGCAAACATAAAGTGTATGAGCTACTTGTATGCCCCCCCCCCCCCTGACCGGTCCCCGTTAACGCTGTCGAGCGACCATTCTCGGTGAATCCCGAACTGTTTTAGTGATCGAACCGCTTGCGCCCTACCTGTTCCTGCAGGACAGAGCCGAGGCTTGCCATGGCCCCAATCACATCGGGCGGTGCCTCTCTCGATTCCGTGCTGCCATTGTCCTCCTCACCCCGTTCGTTGTTGTCGGCCTCCGAAAGTTTCTTTAAAACATCGCGTGCACGGGGTCTCTGTTAGTCACACGATAAAGGCCCTCGCATTGGAAGATTTATACACAAATATGGGGCTACTGATCCAATGCCGAAAATATGGGCAAACACAACGTGAGGCACCGACCGTGTACCTGTCTAAAACCCTTCTCGGCCTGGTCGTACTGTCCAGCAGCGAGCTGCAGACGTGGAAGGAAGCGCCCGGTCCCATGCCAGTTCCGTTGAGCCAAGCCGATCATCTCCTCCGTAATCTCACGTGACAGAACCCCGAACAGGTTTTCAGCGCGCACTATCGTGGTCACTTTGAGGTCCCGCGCCCACTCGTACACGGCGTGTTGGCTGCTTTTAAGTGTGAAGAACTCGCGGAGGTGCAGCTGAATCTCGCAAAGGTGGTCGTCGACGACGGGATTTACTTTCACGTCCCGATAACCGCTAGGCATCCAGTCGGAGTTGAAGCCGTTTGCCACCCGAAGCACGTCTCCCTGTATGTATGAGTATTGTCAAGATGGTAGCCGAAACGAGTCAGTCGCGCCATTTGTTCCTGTAGTCCAACGCATCAGGGGCACGTACTTTCTTGGCAATTCAAGGCCACGCAGAATGGAAGCAATGTGAGGCGTGAGGGATCACACATCATACATACACTTACATACTTCTACAAGGTCTCCCTTCGGGACGTGGGTGTCGAGCCTCCCGCGGGTGACGCAAGATGACATGCTCGAGACGGATTGTGTGTTCTTCGTAAAGGGAAAACTCAGCGCTCGTATTCTGTACAAATCCTCGTGCACGCACGTATTGTGGAGCCAGCTCGAGCGGACAACTTGCCGGCGAACTACAGATTTCCAGTGATTGATGATGAGAACCGGAATACTTTGAAATCCGAAACAACACCAAAAAGAAAAGGCAGAGGCAAGGTAAACAATATGATTGGCACTACTGTTGGTGCATGCGCTCAGGCTTGCCTACGGCAGCGCACTGTATTGCTGTGCCCGCTGCAAAGTGTAGACGAGCAAAGGTTAAGGTCGAGCAAAGGTTAAGGTGCTGCTGGACATCGGGATGACACGAAAGCCAGCGATGTGGGATCAGGGAATCACTACTAGCTCAAGAGGCATTTTTTTCAGGTACATAGGCTGCGAACTGCAACTCCCGGGCGGCGGGACCTGGTCTGAGCCCAATGCACCACAAGCAGAGGGGGCGCAGCAGGGCTTTGAGGAGTCGGCATATGAGTAGGATTGTGGGAGGATATGCCGTGTAACCAGGTTTATCCTGCTAATTGTCGTTAATAGCGGGAGACCTGTTCGAAATAAGCATGTGCGGGCCATTGTTACTCTCTGTCGTTTTTTTAAGGGTTTCAGAATTGGTTCGCCAGGTTGCGTCGTCGCGGAACGCGTCCCCGGGGTATAGAGCCAGTTTTCGCGACTTTGGACGTCAAGCACGCGTGCCACGGGTGCCTGCCTAGATCCGGGCAAGCGCGGTAATGTACCGAAGAGCCTCCTCCGCGCCCCTGGGAAGGGAGCAGGAGAAAAGACTCGCTGCCGCGAGAGAAAGAAATGACCAAGCACAAAAAATCTCCAAATCTTGTATGTATACAAAGTTCCCTTCGGTACGTGAGTGTCAGGCCCCCCGGGGGTGACACAAGACCACATGCGCATTGCTCAGAGGGCTGTATGTCATGGACTAAATCTTAATGTTCGGTGGTGCTCGCCCCCGTACAAAACATGGCATGTGTCATGGGACGGAGGAGGTGGAAAGGGTTGGCCAACGAAGGTAATTCTTATGACGATGTTGTACAGCTGTTGGGCAGCTGCAATCTCGTCATGGGTAGCAGAGTAGTGGGCAGTTGGATCATACATGAGATGGAGGTATTCCGGGACACTTTGGGAGGGTTGCTCAGGTTGACCATTGTTCCATCCTTGACCTTGGCCATGGTGACGAGGTAGTTGAATGTCACAAGTAGGAGGAGGTTTGCCAGTGGTTACAATGATAAACTCAGAGAAGACGACGTTGTGCACGTGGGGGATGTCATCGACGAGATGATCCATGTTCAACGAGGCATAGGATATTGTCCCTGTAGGTTGTACGGCTAACGGAAACAACGTACAACTTGACCGCGGCAGAATACCGATCCCCTGAGGTTGAGGCCGACTATTTTTAAGGTTGACCTTGAGACTTGTCGATGGTCATGGCGTAACACAATCTGGCAGGGAATTGGTAACGGTGAAAGGTAATACCGTGCGCTCCCACTTTGACGTCCAAGCAGAGGTGTGGTATTTTAACGACGGGAGATTCATCGGATAGAACTTCAACGTCTATAACGTGTCATTAAATCCCTCCAACAACTCCCGTTTGCCATTGGCGAGACTGCAATCAAAGTGAATGTTCCTGATGAAGATCAATGTTCCAACTTTGAGGTTGAGTTTGCACGGTGGCGTGCCGGGGACGTTGATGCTATTGAGGTATGCGACGGAAACAACATCTGGCATGTTTTCGTTTGATGGTCTTGCCTGAACAAAGTTGTTCATGAGCATTTCCTGGCATTTCACGAAGGATGAAGTCATTGATCTGGCCAATGTTATCATTTGTGGGTGCTAGAATGCCCCACACGGTCGTTGTACATGTTGTGGTTAGCTTCTAAGACGTTGGGATAGACTTTTTCAATGAGGTCTTCAAATTCCGTTGTTCCGGCGATTGAACATGTAGTTTCGGGACCATCGTCGTTTTTGACTGTGTGTTGCAATGGAATAGCGGCGGTACCATCGGCTAAAAGAACTGGTTCAACTTTACCTCTCCAACAGCTAAGACAGTTTTAGCGTAAGGGATGTCATAATCTTTGTCTCTCATGCACTTGGTAAGGCGGAAGCGATGAACATGTGACCATAAGCAAAGCCTGACGACAGGAAAGCATATTCTACGATTTCACTCTCGGTTCCGAACGGTAGAACGGGAGCAACTTGACGCCAATCCCCGCTGAAAAGAATAGTTTTCCCTCCGAAGGGCAAGTCATTTCGACATAGGTCCTGAAGAAACGTGGAGTTGAGTGCTTCTGAGGCAAACTTTGAAGACATGGCAATTTCATCCCAACAAATTATTGACGATTTTTTTAGGACGTCGGCTCGTTCGGACTCAGCTGGGACGCTGCAAAACCCTGCCTTCTATGGCATCGTGTCCGAAAGGGAGTTCAAAGGTACTGTGGGTCGTGAGACCGCCAGGTACTATAAGGGCAGCTATTTCTGTTGATGTAGAGCACAGGACTTGTTTTGCACGGGCGCGCAGCAGGTGGGGTGCAATTGCGCATTCTGATTCTGTGAACGTTTTTCCCGTCCCATCCGGAGCATCTATCATGCATACACCACCTTTGTTTTCCATGGCACTGGTCGTGACTGTGTCGAAGATGTTTCGTTGTTCTCGAGTTAGTTGTGGTGTCATTTGAGCACAAAGAAAGCTCTTCTTGCTCTTGTGGAAAATCCACCGACGAGACGATCGAAGTCGGTGTTGTCACGTACTCTACAACCATCAACCCTGACGCTACCAAATGTCCACCACTGAAGCTGAAACCAACACAAACCGCACCACCACGTCCATCATACGTGCACACAATTACCACTTGAAACCCTTGACATTTGGTCTTATCCTGCCGACATCCGCGTTTGTTTCCGGGCTTCAAGTGGCGCCTGGCCCTTGGCAGAGGGGGGGAAAGGCGAAGACCCCTTTCTTGTTGTCAAATTTGATATGACAACATTGGCATGATAACCATCTATGCCGGACTACCCAAAGCACTATCTGCGACAGCTACTTCAATAAACAAGGCGAAGCAGAAAATTTGGGCCTTCTCGGTTTTCCGAAGGTGCTTCACCCACCAAAATCAAACCAAACGGCAAACACAAAGGCCGACCGAAGCTGCCTCAAGAACCTAATATGAAACCAGTAAGTCACCGGGGCGGACTTGTAAGACACCACTTGCAGCATTGCGGGTCGTTTGCAAAACTGCGTAACCTCCTCACCTGGAACGACTCCACGATAGCCAAGTACGCCCGTTTCAAGGCCTGCGGGTTGTCACAGATCACGCTTATCCTCGCCATGTCAGCAACCTTTCGAACGTCCCCACCATATGACTTTCTGGCTTTTCGTTGCGTGATTGCTCGTGACTTGACCTCCGCGCAGTGAACCTCGCACTCCCCCGTGTGTTCCGCTATATCTGCCACGAGCTCGTCTAAACGGTTCTTTGCAAGCTCCGCGTCCGCAAGATAGAATTCCAACTGTGCTGCAAATCGAACGCCCTCATTGCAGTCCTGTAACTCCAAGACCTTGGGCTGCAGAAGGTCCTTCGGCCGCGCCGGAGCGATTTCGCGAAGACACTCAAGCCCTCCATGCTTGTTGAGCTCGTAGTACAACTGGTCGTACGCTTCTTCGAACTGCAGTACCGCCCTGATTTGAAGAAACTTGAGCAAATTCAGCTTGGCGTCTCGATCGTATGGGTTTTGGCAATCTTCACATGAGTTCTCCAGCTCGGCCTCCAGGCGGAGAAGCTCCGCGATGTCGACGCTCATCTATGGTACAACATGAGCAGTACAACCGTGTGGGCGCAACATTCATGATTGATTGCCGTGCATCTTTGTGCCATGTGTGTTCTGCATTGGCCCTGCGCCGGTGTCCTTGAACGACTCAGTGGTCACCCGCGCAAAGGACACCTAACGCTCAAAGGACGAAACCCTTTGAGCGGGGAGTTCCCTGCGTGAAGGACGCACTTACTTGTATTCGGAACAGAGGGTCCAATTTTCTCAAACCGACAACGGTACATTTTGTTCTCCGTGAGTCCCCCATTTTCACAGAACACACCGGCTCGGTACACCGTCAGAGAGGTTTTTGCTGACTGCCGCGCAGTTGGCTTGTGTGGAATCATCTGCGTCTTGCACGGAGGCTTTGGACAACAATCATTCACCACGAAGCCTGTATTGGTGTCGTTGATTTCATTGCGACAAGTACAGGACCTGCTTTTCCTGGAAGGGCACCGTTCATTTTCGCTTATTTCATACTGGTACGATGTCCGATATCGTGATTATCGACGTAGATGATCGTTGTTAGGCTGTTTCTTTTTGAGCCGGATTCCTAACCCAAAAAACACCAAAATCCAGTTCGGGCGATTTTCAGGCTTCCTATAGAGCCGGAATTGTCACTTTTTCGGGTCAATAAAATCCGGGTTTAATTTTTTGGGTTACCTCCGCCCAGAAAGTTGGGCAGAAGCCAGGACGATGCCCAGCCCGATTTTCTGTCCGAAAAAACAACGCTGCTGAACCCAGTCGACATATCGGCGAGTGCGACCTGAGTCCTTGACGTATCGCTCCCATCAAGGGCTCCGAGCAACCCTACAGTGAAGGGTTTGCTATTCTGCACGCTGGTTGTTGATGGTCGCTCCGGACGCGTGCCTAAAAAAGTCATTTCGCATCACACCAAACATAGAGACACCACATCGGGCCAAAACGTCACGAGAGAGCAAAAAGGGCCGCGTTTAGCCTGAGACGGGAGGACACCGCAATCGATTTCTCGCTCCCTAGGACACCGATCGAAGCCAGACCGGCCAGGGTGTGCTCTCTGTTCCTTGCTCCCTGTCGGAGTAGACTTGCTCAGCAGCCCGTACTTTCAATCGACGGAGAGAAGCATGCGCGTGGTGTGCTTTGCTCTTTCGAACTGTGATTGATTTCTCTTCTGCTTCACTTGAGAACAGACTGCTTCGTTGAAGCCCTGAAAGAAATCTTCCGCAGACGGCTTGTGCACACGCAGACGACGATTTCAAATGATTCGATGACTAAGGGCTGTGGGAGGCGGAGGGGGGGGGGGTACTCATAGTCGTGCATGCCGTAGTCGTTAGACCATTGACCTCGCATCCCTACAAAGCCGGGACGGAGCACGCCGGGTTCTCACCGGACCAGGTTCTCACATCACCAAGCGCGAAGCGCCGTGAGGTATTCGGCGAGTCGCATGAAGGGTGAGCTGCATCCTGCTAAGGGTGTTCGGCATCTTGTGCTTACTTCCTTGCATACGAATGACAGCTGCGTATGACTTAATTTATTTTCTTGTGCTTTCACTTCCAGAGACAGTTGTAAGCACTGTGTAACTGCCTCGAGGGTTGCTTGACCATTTTAACACAACGTGGTGCGACCATCCCCCTTGCGCGGAGTGAGGCTTCTCGACCCCGCACAACATGATCTACTCGACCACCATTCATGGTTACCGCAAAAAAAAAACATAGGAAAAAACAAAAACGGTAACCTGGTTGTCGAGTTCAGGAAGTGACTTGGCTTGTTTTACAACGTGGTTGCCAAGGGAGGAAAGCCCAACCCCGAGGGCAAAACCCGGGGGGGGGGGGGGGTTGCGTTTTGATTGGGGGGCAAGGTACGGGAGACAACAGACAGCATGCAAACATGGGAGAAAAACACCATTGAGTTTGAGCGCTCCTCAGTACTTCCTCCACCATTGTTTTCACGAATTACAGCAGCAATGTGCCCCGCATCAGACATGTGGAAGCGCTGCGATGTCACGCGATGGCACGCAATGTACTCAACCATAGCATCCTGGTGCTTGTTTTGGTACATGCTGATTGCCGTTCGTTACTTCTTGATGCATGACGTGCAACAGGGAATAAACACGCACCGAGAAAAGGGCGCACCAACCAGGGAGCACACAGCAGCAGCAGTACACAACAAACGTATAAAAAATAGAGTGCCGTCGTTAAGCGGAGTGAACTTTTTACGTATTTCCGTGTGCCGGGGGCAAGGCGAGGATAAGAACACAAAAATCCGCCTGTTTTTCGTGTTTTAACACGCCCAGTGGAGTGAGTTAAGTACTGCTGTACATATTGCTGTGTGGCATGACAAAAAAAAAACGCGGAAAAAACAGCAACAGAGCACACAGTAGTGCAATAGGGTTGAGTTTTGAGTTTGTTCGGCGATCGCTATCGATGGGAGCGCATACATGAATATTATTGGGTGTCTTGATTATTCGTTTATTTTTCTGAATACGGCCCAACGAATCCATCTCTATCTACGAAAAGAGTCCAAGATAGATTAGCAACGAATTCAGAGCGTCAGAGAAAGCTACCGGTATTTCCACGGTTTCCTAAGCAGCACACAGAGATATCTCCCCTGTGGGTAAGAGGATCAACAAGACAGTTTGGTAGCCGTTTTGTGTATCTATCTGTATGTTATGCTGGGAAGGTGCAGAAGGAAGGTGTTGGGTAGTTGGTTAGTCGGGTGTGCTATCGGTGGCACCCTTATGGGATTACATTTGAAGAGAAACAAGCGATTATCGGGGTATTGTATGTATATTTGTGTATCCAAGTAATGTCCAGAGAAGCACGGGAGAATGTTTTTACTCCTCTCTTGTTTTTTCACCCAAGTGACGCAGCCGGGGCGGTATGCATATGTCGATGGCATGTGTGGGTTTACGAGGATTACAAGGGATGTTGCCTCCGTAAGATTCTACGCAGGTAGTACAGGCCATTTCGTGTTGGTGGGTTTATCATTCGGCGCTTGCTTGTGTTGTTATGTTAGGAGTGTGGCGTCATAGACGACGATCAACAACCACAACAGCGGGTATGTGTGATTTGGAATGTTTGTGAGCATTACAGCAGCAGTATATACTTCCAGCTGGTACTCCCTGTGTCCTTGTTGTCCTCAGTTGTGGTCGTGTAGTTGTGTCATCCCAATGACAACATGTGTCGTAGGGCAACGTCGACAAGTGAACAGCACGATTAGGTTGGGCATGTGCATGTGGGGCTTATACGACTTGTGCTGGCGTACATCACCGACCAGAAAAAATATAGGTTTTTGTACACACCTGTGTGGCGGACATTTGAAGTCCGGCGTCAGCGACAAGCAGCAGAAGGGAGCACACAGAGCTTTTCTACAGCTGTATAATCCGTCCTCCTCAAGTCCTATCGGAGATGTTTACGTATCGCACAACGGCTGGATCTGCAATGCCGACTAGCTCCGAAAACCAAGAGAGGTGGGGGGAGTAGCTCAACCGAATGACTGCGTGTGTGCTCCTCAGTTGCACTTGACTGGTTCTTTGAAGGGTAGATTGCTGATTCAGCGGAATTTGGCGGTGTAACCAATTTATTTGCCGTCGGTCACCTGTTTACAGGGAAATGTTGAAGGCAAAGAATGTGCTCATAAATGTTGTCATCCTATTTGCAAGGGACACGTTTCATTTGCAGTGTTCCCTTTTCCTTACGGTTTCGACGGTAAAATGTGCGGTTGCCCGCACATATTCGCATCGCCACAATACCACAATATGCCCTTATTTGATTTTTTGGTTTGTGGGTTTGGGGAGTATTTATTTTTGAGGCTGAGTCTTAAGGCTTGATTTTTCCGGATTGGATTTGCTGGGTGGGTCCTTTTCTGAGCCCAAAACAATATTTGGGCATCTTATTACGGGTAGGAACATGGCAAAATTCAACAGCCCAAATATTTCCTGGGATTCCGGCCGGCCTGTTAGAAAATTGGTTCCATTTTCCAACGGCGGTCGGGTTGGAATATCCCTGTAACCCTAACCCTAACCCTAACCCTAACCTTAGAAATAGCCGGGGGGGGGGGGGGGGGTGGTCACATCCCGATTGTGCCAGAAACGAGGAACTACACCGTCTGCTGGCCGAACAGAGGCCAGTATCACGAGGTCATGCACAAACCCTCTGCAGGTATCTAAAATTCAGGGCGCTCTGCATCGTGTTGGCCGCACACGAGCCGAAAACGCCAACCCTACCACATTGCTCTGCTGACGTTCTTGCCTTTCGGCCGAAAAGAGCCGTTTTTGCACCTGCATGTATGTTTGACCAGTTGAAAACGCACGCCAGATAGAGGCCTTAGGCCGTCGACATCCACCAACTGCAGCCAATGGCGTGTTGTCATACTCATACCCTCTGCTCGCGTACCAGAAACAGAGCGTATTGTCCAGTTTTGATTGCACACGGCCTGCAAACGTGAACCAAAGTGTGTTGCGGCGTTCACTTATTGGGCTTTTTTCTTGTTCCGCCGCGTGTTTGCTCCGTGTGTCACCCGCTACCAGTCAACAACGCATACCGAGAGAGGCTTTTGGCCGACGACATCCACAAACAGCAGTCAGTGGCGTGTGGCCATACACATATGCTCTGCTCACGTCCCAGAAACAGAGCGTATTGCCCAGTTTTGATTGCACACTGCCCGCAAACGTGAACCGAAGTGTGCGTTTGGTGTTGAGTTTTTTTGGACGTTGCCTTTTTTTTTCTGGTTGCTCCGAGCGTGATCAGTCCACAACGCATGCCAGAAAGAGCCTTTGGCCGATGACGTCCACAAACTGCTGCCACTGGCGTGCGATTATACACATGCCCTATGCAGGCGACCCCAAATGAGGGCGCTCCGTATCTTGTTGGTCGCACACGAGCCAAAACCGTGTACTGAACATGTTGTGACCCACAAAAAAGACTTGAATCGGCCCTTTCTTCCCCTGAGAAAATAATATGCCTCGAGGAACCGTAAGAAGGTCGTTTGGGTCTGGATAATTTTTCCCTTGCAGA